CATTATTTACAGAGTCCCAACAGTACCGTGGAGGTGAATGGAATATAATGTGTGAAGCTTATACCTATAAAATGTTTAAAAACTTTTCAGAAACAGTGTCCTCCACTATCATCAGTTTTTATCAGGACAATTTCTTTTGTAGAAAGTAGTTCCAATTGTCCATTATTTTTTATTTACCTTAAAGCTTTGATCTCCACAAACTAAATTCTATTCAGTTTCTATTCTATTCATTTTGTAGTAAGGTCTTGGCATAAATTGCAGCCTGGGCAAATAAAACCAAAATTATCTGAAAGCCTATAAGAGGTAAGTGAGAAAAGGGTGTTTTTTTCCCCCGGGTGAACTGAACCTTTAAGGGTGGTCTTTACAGTGAAATCTGTGAATACAAATAGACTCCAACTTTGAAGCGACACCCATTGTTGTAGTTTTATTGGGCTCTGGCTCTTGTGTCTTTGTCTGCGTGAGACGCTGGTGTGAAGTGAACTTGCTGGTTTTTGACGCTGCATGAGAAAAAGGTGAGAAAGCTAACGTGGATACAGCATTGTTTGCCATAAACAGTGCAGCTATAGCCGGGGAGTGGGCTCAATTGAAATGTCTGCAGACAAACTCTTCCACAGTGTCTCTGATTGCAACTGCCTCACTTCCCTGGTTTACTGATCTGCTGTAGTCAAAGTCTGCCTCTGACTCAAAGTCAATACTGAGACTTATTGTACTGTTAAGGTGACACAAGATTTCTAAGTATGATTACTTATGAAATTCTGCTTTACCCACAATAAGAGCACCACCCAATGAGAATAGCATTTACAGAGAATATAAAATGACTTAAAGATCCCCTCTAGACATCTCTGCTTGGAATAATAATTTGATCTGATATAGTTTTTCCATTACTTACTTAAAAAGAGAGACTTAAAAGTAGATTACATCTACTGCTTCTCCCTCATTAAAAGAATCTAAAATCTATGAAAAATGCAAATACTGTTCATTTCAAAAGTTTAACAACAAGAGACAATATGTCTCCTACTTCACTGATTGTGCACTGGAGGCTTTAACATTTCACATCAGACTTATATAAGTCGCATATTGGACCACAATTGGCTTACAAATTAGTTGTGATGACAAAATCGATTGTACACGCAGACTTTAAACTCAGATTTAAGGTGAGCACAGGGAAACTTCAGCAGACGAGTGAAAACAGCCTTCTAACGTCAAACTCTGCACATGCATCATTCTGCACAGTGAAGCTCAAACATCCAAGAGAAGGAACAATAAGCAAGACACGCTTTTTTTCTGTGGTGGGGGACTTTAAACAGGATTTATCAGGTTGATGTGGTTCACATTAAATGTCAAAAATGAGTGGCATTTCCCCTTTAAACCTCAACATCAAAGCACATCAAAGCAACCGACACAACAACATTCACACCTCCGGGTGCAGTTCTCATTTTTACTTGCAGCTTTAAACACATTAGTCCCAGTGTCCTGCTCCAGGTCAGCACCAAAAACAGGCACAATGACTCGCAGCTTGTGTTGTTTCCCTCCTCTTGACATACAGTATAATTACTCTATTAGGGCTCACATCATCATTGCACTTATTAAGTCTACCAGCTGACAATTGCCTCTGACCGGGGCTCATTTCATTGCTATGTGCCTTTGAGTGACACAAGCCAAATAGCCTGTTTGTTTGCATTGGCCGCTGGCTGGCACGCATGCTACATGCCAACATGGCCAAAATAGGACATGCTCAAAGCTAATAATGTCCCGTCTGTGTTCTCTCTGGCCTCTTTT